CTCATATCTTCTAATCTTTTATCTCTGAAAGCATGCCTATCGTCACCTACGAGTGACATATTTTCAAAGCTGGATTTCTGTAGTACGTGTGGAACATTTGTTTCCAGAATAGCCCGTGTCGCTCGCATAACGGGTGTTTTTGTCTTCCGCCGGGTGACGTAATCGTTGCTCATTTCATGTCTAATTAGCGCGGGGATTAGACCCTCGAAAGGGTCGTAAAATGTCGCGCAATGCGTGCGGCCGCCTGTACTATTTTATTCGTTTCCGTTTGCTCTTCACCATCTTTTGAAAAATATAATAACGGTTATCATCGAAATCACCACATCACGGGAAAATTTAATTACTTTTTACCAGCTATTCTCGAGGTGAGACAAGGGGGTTTCTAAAGCTGGGCACGCTGGAAGATAATAGAAGAAAGCAAGCAGGCTCGTGCGCGCCCTGAATATAAATATGCCTTTAAAGAAGAGATAGAAGGTGATTGGCGCAATATTTTGTTGCGGCTGGAAAATTCAGGTTTTCCAAGTGAAATCAGACGTAGCTGTTGTGGGATACAATATGCACACGTCCGCAAACGTGTTCGAAATAACGATCGGTTTCATCATCGCGAAAAATTATAAATGAGAACGCGTACAAAGGGATGCGCAAATTACAAAATGGTTTTATTGATCGTAAGTAATTCAGCTCTGTAATATCTTTGTGATATATTCAATATTTACTGTACGCACACATTATATCAAATTTGCAAACGTACGCGGTATATTTCTTCACGATTAATAACTGGGAATCGCTCATTTCACTGTAAATTTTCTATCGTATTTATCATGATAAAACAATAACCTTAATTGAATGGATTACGCGCGGGCATTTTACAGAATTACGGAAGATATTTCGCAAGAAGCGCTTGAAATTCACAAAAACGTGGGAGAACGGGAAAGGTTGACGCATCAATTTGTTAATAGCCACGGGAATTTCGCGTAAAAGGCAACGTGAAATTCTGTTCTATGGTCGGCCGAGCTGAACGATGTATTCGTTAGTGTTTTAGTCAAATGAAACAATGGATGCATATCTATGTGACGTTGCAAGATATTGTCATACGAAAATGATTGCTGGTAACGGGGGATGCTGGCCTTTCATTTCTCTCACCCTCTTTAGAAGTCTCGTTTCTCTCTCTAGTTCACCGTGGCCCACTTCCAAATAACAAACACGTTGCGCGCGAAGCAGCGTGGATGGCGATGGTAGCTGCGGCGTGTGGCGGTAACGATCGCGGGTCATTAGCAATGCTAATGCACCTTTCGACTGATGAGGCGGCGTAATGCTTCTGGTCGGCCCGTGGGCCAAGCTCTCTTACCTCTCGTACATTTCTCGAGAAGACCACTTTAAAGTGCTATACTATAGGATGGCTTGTCGGTTGGCTGCCGTAAATTGCACCGAGGAGACTATTGGCTTCCTATTAAGATCGCACTCTCCATCTATTTTAGGAAAAAACCGGATCTCATCGGTATGCCACATCGAATCTATATCGTTTTTTCAATTAAATCCTTCGCAGAACTTATAGTGAGGAGATCCTCTAGTGTTATTAATAGTTCCAATATTATTACATTTTATTTGACATTT